CACTAGGGCTATCTTGGTCTCAGAATCTTAAATTCAGTGTTCCAAGCAGCCATTAATGCTACTTATTTAGTAAATAAAAATGCAGGGTGCCCAGTTACATTTGAACTTCAGATAAACAACAAACAATTATTGTTTTTTAGTGTAAGTATATCCCATGCAGTATTTCAGACATACTTGTACACACAAAAATACTAAAAAATTATTGTACTAAAAGTTGTTTGTTGTTTATCTGAAATTCAAATGTAAATATATTTTACTGGGCCATCCTATTGGTGGTCTAAGTTGAAACTGACTTGCCATCTTTGACTTTGGGCTATCAAATGATGAAAACTCATGTCTAACTAGTTTTAGAGACAAAGGTAATCTATTAGCTTAAACAGTTAGGAATTGCACCAGGCACTGATGAGTTCAATACTCTCCATCCCTCTCCCTCGTCCTCAGGCTTGCTTCTCTGTTGGCTTCTTTCTATAGTTCAGCTCATACCACATGACAAGAAGGCTTCCCAATGGCAGATTTACTGATTCCCAACTTAGCAACCATAGAATTTCTTTCTCCCAACTCCTGAATATCAAGCCAGGACAACTCTGATTGGCCTGACTTGGGTCTTGTACCACCTGTAACCATTATCTACAGGACTGGCCTAGACTCGATTATGGCTCTATGCCTATGGGTGGAGTTGAAGGGTAGTCCCACCAGGATCATTCAGCATGGGAGAAGTACCATTCCTAAAAGAAGCAGGGTGTCAGGCAGAAAAAATAAGAGAAAGAAAGAAAGAAAGAAAAAAAGAAAGAAAGAAAGAAAGAAAGAAAGGAAGAGAAAGAAAGAAAGAAAAAGAAGGCCAACCTAATGGGGGGGGGTGCGGGCAGGAGTGGCAGGCAGCAAGGGGAATGGTGGTTAAGACACTGGATTCCCACATGGCCAACTATGGTTCCAGTTCCGCACCTGGTGGCTTGCTTTCTCACTCCTCCTCCCCACCCCCCATGTCCCTCTGGTGTGTACACATGCCCTATAGCAAATTTACAACAACAACAATAATAAATAAATTAAATTAAATAATTCTTTAAAAAACAAAGAAACCAACAAGGGTTCATTTCTATTATGTATGTATGTATATTGTCTAATTCACAGAATTAGAGAAAGACTTTAAGATACAGAAGGTCAAACCTTGTAATTGAGACAAATATGTAATAACCTATAGCAAACCCATGGTACTAGGGCACTTATTATATAAAGGCAAAAAATTGTGACCTGTCACAACCAAATACCTTCTTGTAAGAAAATGCAGAGAGAGAGAGAGAGAGAGATTTTGTGAGTGATTGACAAGGACAGCAAGAATTGTCGGTAAATGCTCCTCTGGGAAGCACTTTTGACGTGGTGTATTGGTATTCGAACAGTTTTGAAGCATGGAAAAATCTCATGTTTTTCTCATGTCTTTGAAGCTCCTGTCTGTCAGAACCCAAAGGTACTTGAAGAGTTAGTTCCCATCCAAAGTCTGTAGCTGTATAGTACAGAGAGTAGAAACAAGGGCTATGCAATGAGACTGTTGGGGTTTTAATCCCAGCTCCACCACTTGCTTGCTGATGAACTTGGACACATCACCGACTAGGACAGGTCCAGCACTCCTACACTGGTGATGTGCCATTGGGACATGGTTAGGCCAGGACAATTATTGCCCAGGGTGTCTTGGGCAATGAGGTCTACAAGCAAAGAAAGTCTCCATTTAGAAGGACACTGTGGGCAGGAAGAACTCAACAGATCACTTATTTAAGAAAGTAAGCTCACTTCTACCCCATCCGCATTGCAGTAAAGAAACACAGACGCCTGTGGAACATTTTCTACGCACACCATGGGAAGTGCTGTAGGAAGCGTATATCCAAAATGCTAAGGGATAAGGGTGGGAAAGTAAGTCCTGAAGAGGCTGAAGACGTGTCCTCCAAACACAGATGAGTGTGACTTTGAAAGTTGAGTCTGTCCAACAACGCAAGGCAATAGCCCAAGAAAGCACAAAGGCATGAATACGCATGGCCGCATCTCTCAACCTTCTGTGACTCTCAGGCCTGACGTTCACTTGGACCTACTTGAAGGCTCTCCTGTCCTATTTTGGAGAGGTTTTCGCCATAGGGTGCGTGTGCTCTCCAGAAAGACAGAGACAAAGAGACAGAAAGCAAGAAATCACCCCACCCCAATCCCCAGCAGGGAAGGCCATGCTGTGATCCCTTCTCCTCCATTCTCCTCTTGGGATCTTGCGCACGCATGCCCACATGCGCCTGAGTTTAAGCCACCGGGTCCGGGACTCGAACCACGGTCGACTACATGGGAGTCCTGGGACATAGCCATTACGCCAACTGCTGGTTCCTCTCCTGTCCTATTTTAAAAGGGAAAAAATAATGTGGAAATAATTTAATGTATTGATTTAAAAAAAAATTAGGAATCAAAACAGACATCATCACCTCTTCCAAGGACATAAATCTTCTAGACATCATTGTGATTTCCAGGGGAACCTCTTGGGAGATCTTAAGTACCTGGCATGTTTGGACACTATGAGAAACTGTGAGTAAAATAGACTAAAGGGATAGATGGGAGAGTGGTAGGGGAAAAAAAAAAATAAAAAGCAAAAATGAAACAAAACACCCAACTAAGAGAGAAACGCAGACCTGGGCTACAAAGTCTCACCTGCCGCGCAAGGTGTGAACTTCTGTATAAACACAGGGAAATGTAGGAAGTGTTTTCAGGTCGTCTTGATACAATGTGAAACAGTTACTGTACATTACTTTTACACTGCTACTAATTATAGCTGTGGTAGGCAGATTTATATGGCCTTTCCCTCCTGAATGTGACCTGGACACATGAATAGACTTCTAATGAAGACTATGACAAAAATGATGGAATGTCACCTTTCCAAACTCTTCTAAGCTCCCATGACTGGCTAAGCTGCGATCCTAATTTTAATCTTTTCTCTAAAACGCAAGTTCTGAAGCTCTACATGGAAGTACATCGTCTTGAATGCAACAGAGCGCTCTGGGGCGGGAGGCCATAAAGGCTGTGGAGGGGAGAGGAGGCGTGGGCTTCTAGAGAGCCCCTCATTAAATCTACACCAAATTAGGGGAGAGTAACTAAGAGCTGATAATTTTATTTCACCTTTAAAAGCTATTAAACACAACATACTATAATGGAATTTGTGACCTTATTAAAACATTTAGTCACACATTACTACTTGATAAACTTATGAGTTAGTAAATTTTTTTTTTTTTTTTTTTTTTTTTTGCCATGTACTCTCAATACAACAAAACCATTCATCTGAAGGAAAATCATCAGGTTGCATCGACCGTCTGGTTTGTTTCAGTACTGAAGTCTTTTTAAAAAGCCAGCCAGGGGAACAGCAATTGGTGTAATGGCTCTGTCGCTGGACTCTCATGTAGTCGACTAAGGTTTGAGTCCTGGACCCTGTGGCTTAAACTCATGCCAGGCACGTGTGCGTGCGTGCCCAGGATCCCAAGATGAGAATGGAGGAGAAGGGATTGTGGCGTGGCCATCCTCCCTGGGGGGTGATTTCTCACTTTCTGTCTCTCTGTCTCTCTATCTTTCTGGTAAGCACATGTGGCCTATACCAAAAACTCTTAAAAAAATAAAAGTCAGTCAGAGACTGGGGAAGAAAGGGATCTCTGTAAGACTCCCAGTTCCCTGCAATCCAAGACAGTGCCAGAAACCCTTCGCACCAGCTCTACCTGTCTACCCATTTCTCTGATCCACCTTTCATCTGTTCATCAGGCAGAGTGCTGGGAACACCCAATATAGTCAAAAAATATTTTCATTGTCTCATGGGAAGAATAGTAGGCTTGCTAGGAGCACAGAAATGGGAGAAGGCAGAAGCAACAGAAAATTGCCTGCTCTCCAGTTTTGTAGGTGTGATACAAACCTTCATTCAGAGATGACCTATAGGTTGGCCATGAGGGGAGAGGTCCAAGCATCTGGTGACAGGTGTGCAGAACAGTGGGAGGAAGGGGTGGGCTTGTGCACCGTGGCTTCTGGGGCCCATAGATCTACACCTCCCTTCTCAGTGATGGCGTAACCATGGTCAGCTCTACTGTTTGAATGCCTTTCCAGTCTTCTTTCTTCCACTACTCACCCCACCTTCTTTATATTATCTTCAACTTGGGATCTCCTCGTTTTTCCTTTAACCATCTCTAACAAAATAGTTCGACCATTTCCCAGAGACCATCTAGAATCAGCTACCCATTGTCAATGGAAGGTAAAATGAACTTCCGACAAACTAGGGTAATTAGAGAGAGGGAAGCATTGCTGAAGACCAAACCAGACAAAATATGATACAAAATGTATGTGAATGTCTATTTTTTACTTGCAGTGATAGTCAACATTTAAGAATACACTTGTCATCCTACAGAAGTCATCTAAATGTGGGAGCACAGAATCTGACATAAATTACTTTACTGAGAAGTGACCAAAAGTCTAACATCTGTTCAAATAATTAGTTGTGGTTACCTTTTTCTTAGCTGAATTCTTCTTTTTTATAACCCTAGTATTAAAACAACAACAAAAAATACACCTAGATTCAGGAACAGAAGTATAGCACCTCCTTTATGCTCCTTCCTCCTCTTCTCTTTTCATTTAAAGCCAGTGCCCTCATGGCACTAACGCATCATGTAGAAATCAACAACTTACTGCAAAGCTAGAATTGGCTGCACACCTGCTACATGTCAAGCAGCATAATACAACTATTAAAACGTTTTCCCATTCAGTCCGCACAGTAACTAGATGGTTCTGCATTTCACAGAGGAGGAAACTGAGGCTCCGTGAGATTAGGTATTAGAAGGAATGGGACAGGACGAATCCATCCATACGCTTACCATACTGTGATTCCTGCCCTGACATCTGCTTACCTTTCATTTCCAGAGCAGACGCCTGTGTTCTTGCTTGGAAGAGCCATTGACAAAGGAATGCACCGCACACATCGGGCTACAATCTCGGTGAGAGACACTCACCACTGTCTCCACAAACCCCAGCTCCGCGCTTGGCACTAGGTAAACTACAGTAAATATTATTACAGTTGCATTAAATTTCAAACAACCATGTTTATTTTAATTGTTCACAAATACTCTGCCAAATGTTTGTTGTATCAACTGTAACCTGTAAACATGCTAATCCTCCCCTGAACAGCACAAAAGTAAATGGCCAGTCAAGGCACACGAAGCCTTTGGCACTACTTTAGCCTGGGTTCCCTGCAGAAAATAGGTGCCCCCTTTTTGTAAGTTATCCCAGGAAGCAAGAGTAGGAAACTGAAGAGAGAAACATGGGCAGAGAGAAAACTGATACAAAGAGGAGTTCTGGAGTTGGTGGCCACTCTAGACAATGGGGGCTTCATCCCAACAGGACTCTGGGGGACTAGGGAGAACGTGCTTCAGAATCACCTGTGTGAAAGACAGAAGAGCGTGTATCCCTAATGAACACTGGTCTCCCCTGGGAGATCAATGCCCCTTCACTCCAGGCTACACAGTGTGAATGCCAAGAGGGTTCTTATAAATATCAGAGAAGCCCTGAATAGAAAATGGAAGTATGGATGGCAGGTCACAACTGTGAAGTGAGCCACAGAAAGTGTCCAACACAAGCCACTTGGGGACCTGTAGGTGCTGAGGGCTGAAGGAGGGGAGAGGAATTGGTTAAAATACAGTGGAGCTCCTGAGGTCTAGCTTTGTTCCATTGCAAAGGCCATGTAGAAATGCATTTTCTCACTCTCAAGTCAACAAATGAGAGGTCTATTAAGATGAAAAACCCTCCTTTTAAAATGCAAATAACGAAGAGGGCCAAGGTTAATTTTGCTGGCCTTTGAAACCTACAGTGAAAGCTTAACTGGGATTGCCCTTTGAAAACCCATGGAGGCAGGTTAGGCATCATATGTTCAGAAGGAAGAAGATGGTACAGGGATAAAGAAAGGTCCTGCAAATGTGAAGCAGGTGCTTTGTGGGCTTTACACTCTGTAAAGCCTGTGGAATGTGTCAGTGTAACCCGAAGCCACATCCTTGAACCAACTATGTCAATATTAAGCTTGCTTTTTTTGACTTCTCTCAGGAGAAATATAAAAATTCACACATGCAAGTGGCAAATGATCCATTCTTACAACTTGAGAAACATTTGTTTTAGGATTCTCAGTTGCGTGCATAATGTCGCCTTTCATTTCCTTGGGGAGCAATGGGTCCTGCAAGTAACTAGAAGTTCATCAGAAACATTACCTTAAGGGCTCAGACGCGTGGCGCCAGTGGAGGCCCCAGTGCTTGCATGATGGCTGAGGCCACATGGGAGGCCCAGGTTTGGTTCCAAGGCCAACCTAAATAGGCCAGGTGCAATGGTGCTTGCTGTGGTCTTAACCAAGTAGGAGGCTGGCACAGGAGGATTGTGACACGGGGACACCTCGTAAAAATTACCTTTTTCTAGCTCTCTCCCACATGTGTTCTCCCTGTTTCTCACATTTAAAAAAAAATGTTTTAAGGCCAACCTTGTGGCCTAGTGGTTAAGGAAGACAGATCCCAGCCCTCGTGGCTGCAGTTCGAATCCCAGCCCTGGTGGCTTGAAAAACATGCTGATCACGTGGGTGTATGTGCTCCAAACTCCAACAGAATGGAGAAATGAAGACGGGATTGCAGCGTGACCACACCCCATTGGGTGGTGCTTTCTCCTCTGCTCGTCTCTGTTTTCTGTCTCTATCTGTGGGATTGCAGTGTGACCACGCCCCATTGGGTGGTGCTTTCTTCTCTGCTCGTCTCTGTTTTCTGTCTCTATCTGGTGAATGCACATGGACTCTGGCAATAAAAAGATATTTTAATGACTTAGTTGTTCAAGCTATGGATAGAGTGCAGGATAGGGGCAGAGACAACAGGATCCCTGGCTAATGCTTGTCAGGAAGAATTCGGCTGGAAAAGCCACAATCACTGGACATATCAGTGGGGAGAAAGTGACTGCCCTCCCTGCTAGTAATAATAATAACTATAATAGGACTGATAGCAAACGCTAATAGAACAAATCGTCTCTACCAAGCACTATCCTAAGCACTTCATATATATATCGACTAATTATAAACCAGGTACAATCATGATTTGTACTTTACAAATGAGGAAACTGAGGGACAGAGACTCAAGAAATTTGAGAGAGACTCAAGGTCATGCAGTAAATGGCAGAGTAGTAATTCAGACTCAGGCCTCCTCTAGACTCCAGAGTCTAGTTCTGAAGCATCTTGACCATGGGCTTACTTAAGGGTACCTGTGGGAATCAGGGACTAGAAGGCAAACAACTGTGAGCACCTGAAACTGCAGGGCACTGGGACCTGAGCTGGGGTTCGGGTGAAGCCCATGGCATCCTGGGTATTCATATTTCTGCAACCGAAGACCAGCTGAGAATGCTAGGTTACATGCATTGTGAAAAAGTACAAACTGTGGAACATGTAAAACCTTCATTTCTTCTGACTGCCCTGTGCAGAAGCATGGATGTGCTTGTGTGTAGGTATGTTCGAAGACATGTATGCAGCTACTCTGGCCCAGGTTACCAGCCTCTCTCATCTGGGCTACTGCAAACACCTCATTAATGGTGTCTCTGGTTTTACTCTCATTCTCTCCTATCCATACTTTCTACCACACGTACCATCTAATAAAACTCGCCGACTAAGTTGAGCCAGATGCTGGCCCAGTAGTAAAATATGACCCTCCATAATGCTGACCTGTATGGGAAGGTTCCCAGTTTGTGCCTGGAGACCTTCCTGAGCATGCCGAGCACACATGTGCCCAGGATCAGGGACATGCTGAGGTTGGGGATGGATCAAGGCACTGAGACCCTGTTGGGGTGCTGTCTCTATATCTCTTTCTTGCTCTGGCTCTCATACTCGTGGAAGAAAAAAATAAACTTTTAAAATGCCAATTAAGTCATATTGCCCTCTGCTTAAGATATTTTAGTGGCCTTCTGTTACTCTTGAAATAACATCCAAGCTCCTTGCTAGGGACTACAATGACCTTGCATCATCAAGCTCCTGCCCGTCTCTCCAACTTCATCCACAGTCCCTCTCCCATTGCTGTGGAAGGAACAATTACACTGGCCATCTTTCAGACCAAGCCCTTAGCCTACCTTTGAGGCCTTCTAAAAGCTGCATTCCTCCCAACATTCTTAACCCAGCCAGCTCCTTATCTTTGAGGATGGCAATTCCTTCTCTTCCATTTCTCTACCTTATTGTGAGTTGGATCACACACAACATATGCCTAGGATATTTTTCACTCTACTGGGGCCGAGATTCAAATAGTCATCCATGTGGGATCTGACTTCCTTAACCATCAGGCTAGGGGGCCAGCTCCAATCACACTCTTAAAATTCTAACTCATTGTCATGACTGTGCTCTGCAAAGCTCTTGCTTCATTTCAGTAAAAATTTTCTTCTTCCATCCTTACCCCTCACTTCTTTCTCCCCATAGAAAGCACTGAGATGGGCTCTAACTTATTTGTTAAATGCATCGTGATGTTTCTAGGGTGAGTGTTTTCAGTGTATACAAAAGGCATTGTTCACGGAGTCTCATTCTATTTCCTGCCTTTTGGACTCCACATGACAGCTTGTAGAGCTCTTCATGTTTCTGATCACCTTATTTGTTGCTTCCTTGTGTTCTGTGGCAACCCATAGTGATCATTCATCCCACTGATGAAGCCCTCAAGCTCTCTTCTACCAACACACATCATCACAATAAACTTTCTAGGGCACATTTTTTTAAGAGAGATTTTTGCTATAGAGTGTGTGCACTTGCTAGAAAGACAGAGACTGAAAGTGAGAAATGATCCCCCAAGGGGGATGGCCATGCCACATCCCTTCTCCTCCATTCTCCTCTTGGGATCCTGGACATGCAAGCGCATGTGTGTGGCTTGAGTTTAAGCCACTGGGTCCAGGACTCAAACCGCGGTTGAGTCCAGTGACATAACCTTTATGCCATCTACTGGTCCTTCTAGAATACATTTTCTGTGGGACCTAAACAAGACTATCTTTGGCACATTTATCTAGGACTGAGCCTGGTACATACAAGCACATACAAATTCAGTTAGGGTAAATCCTGCTGGTTTGCCTTCCAGAATGGCAACACCATTTCATACTCCTTCCCCAAACTTTAGAAAACCTTTCCCTAGTTTTCAAACAGAATTGTATCTCCTTTAGCCTATATTTCAGTTCCTTGCTTTCTTCATAAAGTGTGTCAGACATTGTATCCGCTCTATTTGCCTGTTTACTTGCATTTTGCTGGTCTTTCCCTCTAAAATATAAACTCCTTGAGGCCAGAGACAGTGCTTCTTTTATTCTGCACCGTAATCTCAGAATCCAGTATAGTGCCTAGTACACAATAGGTACTCAGTAAACATTTGTTGAATGAATAAACAAATATGGTTTGGTAGGTAAATCATGGTTAAAATGTGCACCAAGAATGAAAATCACAACGCTAGGTTCTTGTCTTAAGAGCTCTTGAAGCTCATGAAAGACTTACCAGTCAGATGGAGTAACAACTTAGAAAAACAAGAATCTCCAGAAATCTTCATCTAGTCAGCGGATTCAATGTTAAATGTAGTTTAGAGATATGCAAAGCCCTATAAAACTGGGGGGGGGCATATAGAAGACTTATCTGTTGGATTAAAAGAGCTCTTTTTGACTACGTCATTGCTCACAGTTCTTTCTATAAAGCTGTCCTTTCCTATTTCCGCGATCTCCTCCACTGCATATGAACTCTGTTTCTCATTCTCATTTCTTAGTCTTGGACATGCTCCCCAACACTTAAAATCTTCGAGCTCACCTTAGGGGGAGCATTTCCTTCTTAAGCTGTTGTCCATCTGTTCAGAGAGCCATTTTATCTTACATAGGTAACTTGAATAAGATAGGAGTTTAACAGTAATTGTGTGGGAGAAGAGATTCTAATTGACATATTCATGTCATTATTCTTAAAGGTCATCTCCCTGTCCAAATCACTGCAACTTCTAGGGCCATTTATGAAGGCTCGTTTTAATGGCAGGACACTAGTGGGATCATGTCCCTCTGGGTCATACCCTGGAAAGAAGTCAGCCCTGTCCCCTCCCTGGCTTCCAATCCTTTGTTTTACTAGTTAGTTCAAAGTCTCATCTCAGCTCCAAAATGCCTTCTGGAAGCCACCTCTGCTGCAGCTGCCCTATGTAAAGTCCCCACGTGGACCTAGGATACTATGTCCGTACCCTCCAGTTAATTTCTTTAGCAGAAGAACAACTAAGCTGACATGAAACAAGTAGGCTTTTTCTGATTTCTGGGACAGCTGCCTCACTTCGATTGACTTATATTTGAATACCTTAGGTTTTAGGAGGATCAAATGAAGAATGTTCTCTAAATGCATTCAAAATCAACTTCCTTGAATTCCTGCTCTTAAAACTCTGTTTGCTTGCAGATTTACCAAGTGACTCAGCAGTCAGCAGTTCTGGTCTTGACTGGGTCTTCTTGGGAAATGATCCTGCAAGTCCACAAACCTTCACCAGACTACGGGACAAAGTCAGGAGTCCCTTTGTTCTTCACCACCCCTGGTGCCACCCCAGAGCTGGTCGTTAATAAACAGCAGTGACAGAAAGAGATGCAAGTGTAGCCAGAGGTTTTCTGGTTTTGTGCATTTCTTCCTTGCCCAGAGGCAGCCTAAGCTCTTTCTTGGAACTCAAGGTGTCATTTAGATAAGCACCGGGACATGGTCCTCTCTGGGAACGAGTTCACTTCTGATCTTTTGTATGTGTGTTAAAGGGGTGCCCGGTTCCTGAAATACCAACACCTGGCACAAGGAACTATTGACTTTTGGGGAAAGTCATGACATATTTTCCTGTTTTTCTATGCAAAAGTGCATCATGACTTTTCCGATGACCCACGCTTTAATAATCTCACCCTAGTCAAAGATAAGTTGTTGCTTTATTCCCAAATGTCATCACATAAAAATAAGGATAGCGATGGTAAAAGGGCTGAAGCAAATTGTCAGTTGGCACAGAACTTGTCTGTGCCGGGTTCTGTACTAAACTCTAGGATCGCTCATGTCCAAACTCTCCTGGTGTGACTCACTGAAACTTGGAGACTTTATACAACGTGCCCAGGTTCCTAACAGCTGTGAGTGGCAGAGCTTAGATATGAAATGAAGCCTGATTTCAAAGCCAGTTTTCTCTGAGTGCTACACAGCACTCTTCCCTAAAGTGCCTTCAGAACGTAGGTCCTCAGCACCTTTGATGAGCCCTCACAAATGAAGGCAAGTTTTCCTCCTATCCGCTGACATCCTTACCTTTTTTTTTGGGTAGAGGTTTTTGCTTTAGGGCATGTGCACCCATCAGAGAGAGACAGAGACAGTGAGAAGGAAAGTGAGAAATCATCCCCTCCCCAGAGATGACCACACAGAAATCCCTTCTTCCCCATCTCCTCCCAGGATCTTGGGGTGTACACACATGCACCGGCTGAGTTTCAAGCCACTGGGTCCAGGACTTGAACTGTGGTTGGCCATATGGGAGTCCAGCGACATAACCACTGTGCCATCTGCCGGCTTTTATCCTTAAGTTTTTGAGAAACAGCTCTTGGTTGTTCTTGGGAATTCAGACATGGGAACATCAGGCACAGCAAATGAAAAAAATAAGAAATAAATAAATAACCAGATGAGTGTTGTTCTTTAAGTGAATTTCTTAAAATCTGTACACATTTAAAGAATACCACAGTGGCTAAAATCCAATGTGTAAAGAGCTGAGAATATTGAATCATGCAGAAGTAGTAATTTTTATATGATATGGCATCCAGGGAGTAGATAAAATAAACCCCCATTTATTAAGACAGATTTAAGGAAATAATTGCTTACCAGCTAGAGAGCAAAGGGAAAATAACAAATGTCTATTTCCATTGCTGCTAGGTTCCAAGTACATGGGCAATTTGTCCAGACTTCACAATGTGAGAAAGGAAGATGCTGGAAAACACAGCCAGAAAGTAAGGGGATTTAAGGTCACACAGACCTCGCTCCATTATAGTTGGGTCATTTTCTCCCATTCACTTAAAATATTGATTGGCACCTACCATGTGCCTGGCACTGAACCCTGGACATAAGTTAATGAACAACGTAGAAATGATCCCTGCTTTAAATAGATTATGATTACATCTGGGGTTATTTCACTATCACACAAGTCAGGGTTGTGGAAAAGAAATTTAACTGTGGTTGGCCATATGGGAGTCCAGCGACATAACCACTGTGCCATCTGCCGGCTTTTATCCTTAAGTTTTTGAGAAACAGCTCTTGGTTGTTCTTGGGAATTCAGACATGGGAACATCAGGCACAGCAAATGAAAAAAATAAGAAATAAATAAATAACCAGATGAGTGTTGTTCTTTAAGTGAATTTCTTAAAATCTGTACACATTTAAAGAATACCACAGTGGCTAAAATCCAATGTGTAAAGAGCTGAGAATATTGAATCATGCAGAAGTAGTAATTTTTATATGATATGGCATCCAGGGAGTAGATAAAATAAACCCCCATTTATTAAGACAGATTTAAGGAAATAATTGCTTACCAGCTAGAGAGCAAAGGGAAAATAACAAATGTCTATTTCCATTGCTGCTAGGTTCCAAGTACATGGGCAATTTGTCCAGACTTCACAATGTGAGAAAGGAAGATGCTGGAAAACACAGCCAGAAAGTAAGGGGATTTAAGGTCACACAGACCTCGCTCCATTATAGTTGGGTCATTTTCTCCCATTCACTTAAAATATTGATTGGCACCTACCATGTGCCTGGCACTGAACCCTGGACATAAGTTAATGAACAACGTAGAAATGATCCCTGCTTTAAATAGATTATGATTACATCTGGGGTTATTTCACTATCACACAAGTCAGGGTTGTGGAAAAGAAATTTGATTCAGCTCTAACTTAATTCCACTTATTTCTCAAGCCCTCATGTCCTTTTACTGTCAGAAAACAATCGTGTCTATTCAAAGTAAAACTTAGTTCCTTTGGATTAAGAGACAATCCTTTTAGCGTGAAGAATCCGTTCAGCTTTTCCTCCTTTCTCTCTCTCATCTTTTCAGGGTAGGGCATAATTTAAGTTCCGGGAGTTGCAGGGGGAAATGGGATCCCATTCACTCTAGTCTGTTGTCTACATGGATCTTTTTATTTATTTATTTATTTTGGAGAGGTTTTGTTCGCTACAGGGCGCGTGCGCTCACCAGACAGACAGAGACATAGAGACAGAAAGCAAGAAATCACCCCCCAGGGGGGATGGTCACGCCGCAATCCCTTCTCCTCCATTCTCCTCTCAGGATCTTGGACATGCACGCACATGCGCCCAGCGTGAATTTTAAGCCACCGGGTCCGGGACGCGAACCGCGGTCAACTATGTGGGAGTCCAGTGACATAGCCATTACGCTAACTGCTGGTTCCCTCTACATTGATCTTCACTGGGTTGAACATAACCTTGTTCTGTCCTCATCTTCTAATCTGGGCTTTGCTCCTCAGACCCACACTTTCCCAGAGGCCTTTCATTTCAGGTACCTTGAGTCAACGATATCCCAAACCCAGACCACTTTGAATCAACCATATTCTCTTGGTTTTCCTCTCTCCATGGTGAAGCTGAGAACACTGGTTTGCTTTCTCCAGCCATCCTAGAGTGGCAGTACTTCTCAGGCTTCCCCAGGCCTGTCTGCCTGTACTTCTCACCCATCATGGCTACCTTCTCTGAGGCTTTTCCATAAGATCCCTGTGTCTCTGGGTTTCTCCTGAGAAATCAAAGCACAGGTTTTCTCTGCTATGGGATCCCCACACACCAACTAAGGCATTGGTCACTTACCCAAAGGTGAGAGGCAGGACCCCTTTTTATCCTTGACTTTCCTCTCCCAATTCCCACACTCCTTCTCTTCAGTCCATAAAGAACTTTGAATCTTCTCCTGAGTAGCAGACAAAAACAAAAACAAAAAACTGCCACTTTCTTTAGTACTTAACTTTTTGATTCTCAAAACCCTTATTGTAAATTGATAGACTGAACTTTGTTAAAATTGAAAACCTCCACTCAAATGATATTAAGAAAATGGGAAAAAACACAGAAGGGGAAGCGATATTCACAATACACTTATCTGTCTGAGGACTTGTCCCAGAATATATTTAAAAACTCCTACAACTCAAAAGTACAAGCAATCCAGGTTTTAACATGGCCAAAAAAAACTTGAACAGAAATTTTATAAAAGAAGTTACATGAATCCCAAGAAGCACATGAAAAGATGCTGAACATCATAGAGAAATGTAAATTAAAGCCACTGTAAGATATCCCTTCACAGTCACTCGAATGACTAAAATGTAAAAGACGGATGGTAATCAAGGAAGAAGGACGCGGAACACCCAGAACTCTCATATACCTCTGGTGAGAATGTAAAATAACACAACTCCTTTGTACAACACCTTGGCATTTTCTTAGAAAATTAAACGTATTCTTACTCTGTGATATTAACCTGGGGGAAATGAAAACATACATCCACAAAAACCGTTGTACAAGAATTTTCACAACAGCTTTATTCACATTAGCTGAAACCTGGACATTTCAAGTATCCATCAGCAGAAGCAGAGATAAACTGCAATAAACCCCAACGATGGAGCTCTGTGTTGCAATAATGAAGAACAAACTACTCAAACATGGAACGACAAAGCCCAAGCTCAAAGACATTTCGTTGAATGAAATTAGCCAGACACAAAAAGATAACTCCATGTATACAAAGTCCTAGAACAGATAAACCAGACTCTTAGGACAGAATGAAGTTAGATTAGCAGCTGCCTCTGGTTACAGGGAGCAAGGGAAACCCTTTACTATAAAGCGGCACAAGCAAAGTCGCTAGGGTGAAGAAAATGTTCTCGACCTTCGATGACATGGGGGTTACCCATGTGTGATACCTAAAGTCTGCACATTTTATCATATAAATCCTACTCCAACTTAAAGAGGAAAAACAGTTTTGGGGATTTTTTTTTTTTCTCTCTCTCTCTCAACATCTCAGCTCTTGCAAATCAAAGCTTTGCATTTCAAAGCTATTGATCCTTGGTCTAAAAAATAAAGCATTCAGAAAATCAGCTGATTTTTTCCCCTTCTTTTTGTTCACGACTGCACGTGTCATATCTCCTGCAGGAGGCTGGCATGAGAAACTACTGCTGAAAAGTGAGAAGTGAGGCTGTGGTTAGGTGTACATGAAGTGTGGTGGTGGGGAATGTGTCAGTGACATGGCTAATGCGATAATATATGAGCTGCCCACAGCCCTAAACAAGAAACAACGAAGTAATGTATAATTATAACTTCTGCTAAGTGTCATGACTAATATGAATAAGGTACGATAATGAAGAGTGATTTTGGAGAGCAGACTACTTATATAGGGTAGCCACAGGAAGCTTCTCCAGAGATGTGATGTTGAAGCTAAAAAATATAAAAGAGCTAACCAAATGAAGTACCAAGGTAAAGTGTACCCTAGAAATAGCACACAGGAACAGCGGGTGACATGGAGATTAAGGCTGCTGGATCATATGGCCAACTACAC